TCTCTATGGGTCTGTCTCTATTCTGCTTGTTTCAATTTTTGTTTTAATCAGTCAGAACACTGTTTTAAAGAATTTAAAGAGATATACAAATAGATAACTTCCACCCTTAATGCTTTAAAATAAAAATCTGTTTCTGGAGTAAACAGAAAGTAAATGTTATCCTATTGACATGTCATGTTTTTGCTTTGTTTTGTTTTTTTCCAGAGGGAGAGAGAAACATAGATGTGAAAGGGACACACCAACTGGTTGCCTCCCTGCATGGGCCGAGCACTAGGCCAGGATTGAGCCTGCACCCAAGATACATGCCCTTGGCGGAAATCGAACCTGGGACCCTTCAGTCCATGGGCCAAGGCTCTAACCACTGAATCAAACTGGCCAGGGCTATAGCGCTGTTTTTTTTAACAGAGTATTCAATGCCTCACATTTTATTTGAGGCCAGAGTAAGACATGGACAGGGTTTTTAAGTCAAAGGGATGTTTTGACAGTTATCAACTACTGTTGCCTGAAAGAGAGTTGTTGCTATACCTGTATATGAAAATACAGGTGGCCCTTGAACAACACGGGATTGCACTGTGTTTGTCTATTATACATGATTTTTCCCCCCATAAGTACATTCAGGCTTTAGTATCCATGGGTTTCCCATCTGCATATTTAACCAACTGCTTATCGAAAACAGTATTGTCTCATTCCCAACCTCGGATTCCCAACCTTGTATCAAAAATACTTGGGTGGGGGGTGGGGAGAAAGACGGGTGTGGGGTGAGTTCAGCACCCCTAATCCTCGCTTTACTCGAGGGTCAACTCTAATTCAGACATACCTCGCAGACATTGCAGGTTTGGTTCCAGATCTCCGCAGTAAAGTGAACATCGCTAGAAAGCTAGTCATAATCTTTTTGCTGGTGAAGGGTCTTGCTTTTAGTTTGCAAAAAACAAAACAGCTGTGAAGCGCAACAAAGCGGACGGAGCACAATAAAATAAGAGGTGCCTGGGTAGGAATGCTGCCTGCTGGTGAATCCTGGGGAGGGCTGTGGGAGGTGATCTAAAGAGCTGCAGAGAGCTGTTTGTGATTTGCAACAGGCTCTAGTAGGCCTCCAGCCTTGCTGCATATTGTAATCACCTGGGAGCATTTAAAGACTATTTATGACCAGATAGATCACTTTTACCAAGAGTACTTACTTTTAACCTTTCCAGGTTTTGGACCTTTTAGTTCTTTCTCTTACCTTACTGACGGGGTTCTCCATAAGGGACAATTTTGCCTCCCTATCCCCTCAGGGACATTTGGAAATGTCTGGAGACATTTTTGATTGTTAGGAGTGGAAGTGAGGGTAGGGAGAGGATGCTACTGGTATCGTGGGAGCAGAGGCCAGAAATGCGACTAACCACCCTGTACTACAGGGCAAGAAAGAATTGTCGGAAGGTCAATAGTCCAAGGTGAGAAACCCTGCCTCCGAAGACTGGCTCGGACCTCCAGTAGACTCTGCAAGAGGTGACAACAAACATCTTATCTCGTTCCAGATTTTACTGGAAAATATTTGGTCTTCCACTCTTAAATATGATGTCAGCTGTACATTTTTTGTACATACCCCTGTTAAGAGCAAGGAATTTCCATTCTATTCCTAGGTCCCTGTGAGTTTTATTATGAATGTTCTTGAATTTTATCAAATGCTTTTCTGCATCATTCCAGATGGTCACATGGTTTTTCCTTTTAGGCTATTAATATGGAGATTTCTTGATCAAATTTTATGTTAAAATGAATTCCTGGGATAAAACTCCTTTTTAAATCTTTTTTTTTTCCTTTAAATTTATTGATTTGAGAGAGAGAAAAGGGAAGGGGGGAAAGAGAGAGAGAAACATCCATTTCACTTATTTTACGCATTCATGGTTGCTGCCTTTAAGTGCCTGACCCGGGATTGAACCCATGACCTTAGCATATCAGGACGATGCTTTAACCAACTGAGCTACCCAGCCAGGGCCTGGGATACAACCCCTTTAATTTGTATGTATTGTTGGATTCAATTTGATAACATTTTAAGATTTTTACATCAGTGTTTTGAGGAACGCTGGCATGTAGCTTTCTGTTCTTACAATCTTGTTTCATTTTGGTCAGGGTAACACCTGCCTCATACCTGAGTTGGGACATTTCCTCTTATCTTCTATTATCCTCTTGTATTACCTGGAAGAGTTTGTATAGAATTGGTTTCATTGCTTAAATGTTTGTTAGAAGTCACCGGTAAAGCTCAATTAAGCCTAGACTTTTCTTTCAGAGTGTGTTTAACTGTGAATTCAATTTATTTAATGTGTGTGTACATTGTTAATTAGGTTATGTTTCTTCCTGAATTATCTTCAGTAGTTTGTCTCCCAAGAAATGTGCCCATTTCATCAATGCCAAATTTATAAGCATAAGATTATATTTCCTATTTTCTTTTTAGTGTCCATAGTTTCTGTAGCAATATCCCTATTTTATTTCTGATATTAGTAACTTATGTTTTATTACCCTATTCTGTATTAGTCTGTATTTGTCATTCCCTTGTCTATTTTCTTTGGGTTTAATTTGTTCTTCTTATAGTTTCTTAAGGTGGAAACTTAGGTCACTGACTGGAGGTCTTTCTATTTATCTGTGTGAAGATTTAATGCTATAAATTTCCTGTTAAGTACTGGGTTTGCTGTTTCCCACATATTTTGATGGGCTGTTTTTAATTTTCATTGAGATAGAAATATTTTTTAATTTCCCTTGTGATTTCTCCTTTCATCCAAATATTTGGGGATTAGCCAGATATCTCTTATTGATTTCTAGTTTAATCCATTGTGGCTGGAGAACATACTCTGCATATTTTCAATACTTTAAATGTGCTGAAATTTGTTTTATGGCCCAGAATATTTTCTCTTCGTGCATATTTTAAGTGCCTTCAAGAAACAAATATGTATGTTTATTTTATCATTCTGGATACCCTGTCCAATATATGTTATTTTGAAGTCCATTCTCTAATGGTCTTGCAAAACAAAACAAACACACAATAGCTGGGACAATAAAACAATAGTTTACTTTCCTTAGGTTCCTTGTTTCCTGAGTTTTACACAAAGTTAACACCATAATCGTTGCTTATGTGCTACTTCTGACTAGAATACTTATTTCTGATTACCACTTGATTTTTCTGGATTCATTAAATTTTGTTGTTTTCTAGCCACAAATTTCACTCAAAAATGAGTGTGCTATATTATTTGAAGTGAGACAAGGTATGTAAAGCAATTGTCGCTGAGACCTCAATATATTTTTGTTTTTTCACCCCAAAAATCTTTGAGGAAAATCAAAGAGGAGAGAAATCTAATGTTTTATATTTAAAATGAATAAGCTTTAGCTCCATCCAAAAAAATAATAATAGAAAATTCATTATGAAACTTTTATATTTGTTAGTTGGCTCTATGAAACTGCATTCAAATCCAAAAGACTAATTTCTATGCAGGTTTCTGTATAACTGGAGTATTAAGACTATATGCTATTATTAGTTTTAAGTCTATATGCTATTATTAGTTTTAAGTCTATATGCTGTCTCCTATAATCCACCAAGTGTGCACCTTTTAAGTAGACTGGTTCCCCTCCCTACCATGCTGATTTTACACGCATTGTGGGTGTTTCTGTAAGACAGACCGACTTTGGGTGTGAAGTTAGAACTGCAGCTCCCCGGCTCCCCCTTTCTGGGAGACTCACAAATCTTCTTTGTCCCCCTCTCCACCGGCTGCCCTTCAGTTTACTAAACAGAGGGCTCCTAAGCCTTCCCGGTACAGCAGGTGCACTTGCTGGTAACTGTGCTGATGATGTGGCTGCCTCCTCGGGTGTCAGCGTCACTGAGTGCTTGTGTGTGGGGTTTGGAAATGCAACCTTTTCACAGCTGAGGCTTAAAACAAGCAGTTCTACTTAAGATTATTTTTTTTTAATCTAGTCCAGTGGTGATAAGAGGAGAGAGCCCTAAAGAATCTCCTTTAGACCTCAGCCCCATTGTATCCCGCATGCCCCACTGCCGGGCCTTTGTACTCGCTTTTCCCACAGCCTGGGTGTGATTACAGGGCTCACTCCCGCCCCTGCCAGTTGCGTGACTCCCTGCTCCACGAGGCCTTCCCTAAGCACCCTGCTAAAGTTGCACTTTGCCTCCCTCTTCACGCAGCAATTCCTGTCTCCATTCCCTGTATCTTTTCCTCCACAGGACTTCTAATATTTTATAACACATGTATTTATTGATACTGCTTTTTTCAGTCCCCTTTCTGGAACATAAAGTCTATGACAACTGGGATTTCGTCTGATTCATTCGCGTTGCATCGAAAGTGCCTAGAATGGCGCCCTCCACCAAGTAGGTGCCTGATAGATATTTACTGAATGAATGAGCAGCCCCTGGGGGTGTAGCTTCTCACTGCCCCCCTACCGCCCACACAAGCCCCAGGTCCCCGCAGGTCCATTCATCATCAGGTCACCATGGAACTGGGCCCACTTCCCCAAGCTGGGGCCTGAGCTGAAACACGGATGCCCTCCGTTTCCCCAGAGGGAGGGCGAGGATTCCCTGGATCAGCCCCAGCCCCGATCCCCCTTCCGTGGAAGGGAGCTTCCACTCCCCCCTCAGCCACCCCGGCCCACCCCGAAGCTGGTTTCTGCTGGGCTGGAGGGCTCCACTCCTGTTGCCTGGAGCTGTTAAGTTAATTGAATAGGGAAGCCGTTGACCGAGGTGGCTTCAGTGCCATGGAGGCCTTCATAAGCAAAACAAAATCTAAGCCTGTAAATGCCTCACGGTTACAAAACTGAAACCTAAGGACAACCAGTCACAAACAGGCGACCAGGCTTTAAGCTATAGCCTACCAGTAACTTCTTCGCTTGGCTTCCCACTTTATCTACGAATGTCTCGCCTGCAACTCCTGCAGGCGCAGGGCTCCCCGCCACTTCTGCCGAGGCGTTGCCCAGTTCCAATTGAATTTTGGTCAAATAAACTTTTCAAACTTTTTTAAAAAAATTATCTTTATTGCTGAAAGTATTACAAATGTCCCCCATTTTCCCCCCCATACATATGAAAACTTCTAATATACCTCAGTTTATCTTTTCACAGGACTCAGGTTGCATGTGAACTGTATGATATTTAAAATCTATCATAATTACGTAACCATGGAAAAGGTTGTCTGATTTTGACTACTACTTAATGAGGATGAATCAAGAAATGTTAAACTTATATTTATTTATGCATAAAAGGATTTAACCTTAAAATCAATCATGCAATTAACTCACATATCACATTTGAATAAAATGTCACAACAAAAAAGATGTTATTTTAATGATGAAAGACTGCATCAGTAAAGTGATTTTGTACATATTTTTGTGACATTAAACGTGTGCTGTCAAATATATATATGTATATATATGTATATATCTCTAAGTGGGTAAGAGTGCAAAAAGTGTTTTGTCACGAAAGAGCTGTGCTTTCAGAGGCTTTTAAAAAGGCAAGAAAGGTGAAGTTTCTCTTGGAAAATGACACTTAGGAGTTAATGGCATCAAAGTCACATTGGCTAAAGGAGGGAAGCAAACTTTAACAGCCATCTTAACATAAACTTTACTGCAAACATACTCCTCTTTTGAACCCCACACATAGGAAGGAGAAGAACCTTACGCTGTCTCTCTGGCACGTTAAAGAACACGTTTGGCTAATGGCTCCCGAGTAATAAAATTTTCTGACAAATTCCCCGAGCTTGTGCAAAGATTTTCATCTTTAAAAGGTTATATAAAAAGACATAAATCAGTTTCAAGCAGAGTTAATAATGGTCCAAAACAAAAGTTTAGTTTAGGTTATACATTAACATCAGCAAATTCCAGTTTAAAAAGAATTTCAAACCAATGCTATGTGTTAAAAAAATAGCAGTTTAGCTGAGGTTAATTTTCTAAAGTTACATACACCCCCCCCCCTACAAAAATCAGTCTACTCCTACAAAAATCAGTTTACCACTTGCTGGAATCCCAGCCCAGAAACCAGCCTGTGAATGTGGAGGGCTCATAGCCCTGTTTTATGATGATAATTGGCGTCCTCCTGTCTCTTCCAGAAGGGTCTGTCTCAAGGTACATTTTGGCTAAAAAGAAGTGCAAAGACATATAAATTTAATTCTTTTTGATTAAAGAAACTGTAGAATGAAAAGTTTTCCCAAAAAAGTAATTAATTAAATCTTCTTTGCCCCCAAGTATTCAAATACTGTTCCATAAGAACAATTACTTATAGATTTCTCTCATCTACTACAGAATGTACTGTAAGAGTTTCATTACTGCCTGAAAAACATCCAAACTTTATGGAATTATACTTATGGCATAATTATTCTTATGTTTTCAATAACAAAAAATTGTGCGAGAATAAACAGGATTATTCAAAAGGAATTTAAAAAGAAAATCTAGGTTATAATAGTTATGGAGCTTTTACTATTTCTATCATAAAAACTGTAAGTGAATTAAAAATTTTCAGGCTAATTGATATCTAGCTTACCAGACTTCACAGACTCTTTCTTCTCAACTTCATTGGCATCTTTGCCAATCCAAATAAAAATCTGAAAAATGAAACACTAATAACATATGCTGTTGGGGGAATGTTGACTCAGTGCTGGACCCCATGCAAAGCCCCTTCCCACACTGCTCATTAAATCTGCACAACAACCCAGAAGTGAGAACTGTGGACACAAGTGCGGAGAAGTCCAACCACTTTTCCTGGTGTTTACACTTATTAGGAGATGACTAAACTTACATCCAGACAAGTTTCACTCCAGATTTCACATTCTGATATTTTGTGTTTTATATTTCACATTCTAGTTTATAAAGTGAATTTTCTCAAAAACAACTTATGGACTGTTTTGTGCGGGGTTTTTGGAGGCTTTTTTTTTGCACCCTCCCCTGGGGTGTGTAAGACAATCATTATCCCTATATTCTACTGGGGGGACCACACTCTGCTTGTTTGTGGGAGCCCCAGACTCCACTGATGAACCTCTGATTGAAGCTTAATGTTCTCCTATAATATTGTGTCCTTTAGCAATTTGGTAGAAGTGCTATAATCTTTAGTATTTAAATATTGAGGTTTTATTTAAACTGATGTAATTATATATTCTGTATGTATCGTTCTCCTTCTTAAATATGTAGGTTGGGTACTTCAATGCTGAAAAATTCTCCTGAATTACCTTATATGTAAATCACTTTAAAATCACTTGTTGGCAGAAAAATTTTGGTCAAATTAGTTTTGACTGTGTTCTAATTCATACAGAAAGGGCTGGAATATTTGCTTGCAGGGTGTAGAACAAACCGTGACAGCATGGTAATGTCCATAAAAAGTATGAGGTATAACTGACATATAACATTGTATTAGTTTCAGGTGTACAAGACAATATTTGTATCTACTGTGAAATGATAACCACCACAGTAAGTCTAATTAACAAGAAGCTAAGGTGCAATATAACTGAATGACTTAGCAATCAAGAGCAGACCTAGAAGTAACAATATCTTTGGTTGACTTAAGAGTAGGCCAAATTCAGATAACTGTTTCATAATTGTTCAATATCATGGAGTTTCTAACATATTTATTTTTCCCCTTTACTATTGTTAATTTACAATAGTAAATAGAGGTTTAAAAAAAAAAACAACTATCGGTGTGCCATGTTAAATCACCATTAATTTCTCCAAAATAGACATAACAGTGACATACTTTGTAGATTCAAAACTGTTCTGTATCTGTTTCCTTCCTAGGTGAAGGGTCTCCTAAGACTTGTCAAATTTCAAGAGAAATTCTGAATATTTCAGTCTCCCCCATGACTTTGTACCCCTGTTATACCCATTTATTATACCCACGAATGCATTTATTAGTTAAATGAATATATGAATGTATGAACAAGTTAAGAGTGAGTGAATTTTATAAATAAATGAAAAATTTTGCCTAAAATTATACAGCAAAGATGGTAACTGTGGAATTATTTCCACATTAAGACATCAACTTGCCACATGTGTGAGTCTTAGGTTTTTGCAAAATGTACTGTCTCTTTCAATATAGCCTAAATCCGTAGGTCCATTTATTTTTAGACTTGCCCCTTCTCAAAGCAGGTTTTGGCAGCTCTCAGCCACAAGTACACGCTCTTGTTATGAACAAAACAGTTTTACCTGTTCCCAAGCATCTAGCAACATGACATCATCTTCAGCTAAATCATCCTGGGTGAACTCTCCTGGGACTTCTTCAATCTGAAATGTATAAAAACACTTTACTATCAAGTAGTAATTTTCCTAATATACACAGAAATTTCTTTACAGATTTATGCTGCCTTCCTAAAGTCTCTAAAGACACATGTGGATTAAAAAAAAAGAAAGAAAGAAAGAAAAAGGGTTTATGGACAGTAACCACACAGGGTGATCTGATCATAAATTCCTAACTGGGCAGATCATGGTGGGTAGTCACAACCAAGGACTATAACTTCTTTAGTGAAAGGTTTCAAGCCAGCTCTGTCCATTATTCTTGTGCATCTGGGTTAATACACCTTTGAAATACCAGAAGTAATACTCCTCCAAGAAAGCAAATAATCTTGTTACCTATCCTGTAATGGAATCACCACCTTGCTTTTTGTCAAATCCATGTAACCTGTAACCTTCCTTATGTTCTCTCCCAAATGCATGAAAGAAGCTGCAAAACTGTTATTCTCAGGAGCATTTGAGATCTGCTCCTGGTATATGTTGTCAGTTTTGGCTCAAATAAACACTTGTAAAAATTCTCTACAGGTATGGACATTTCTTATGTTGATATATTCAAGTTTATGGTCTGGGTATTAGGATGTCTTTCATTTTGTAGGTTAAGATTATTTTAATAAAAAAATAGGTTTGGTCATTTTTATAAGTCAACAATTTTCAATAATATGAAATTATAACATAATATTCCATAAGCAGAGTTTCATTACTTTTAAGTGGGTTAAATTTTATTCTCTATAGTTAACATTAAAGGGCAATTGAAAGGGTTAGTTTAACACACCCATCACCAAAAAGTGTGTATTAAAGTTCAATTTTTTTAAATTCTCACCTGAGGATATATTTTTATTGGTTTTTAGAGAGAGAGGAAGAAGGGAGAGTGAGAGAGACAGAGAAACACTGATCTGTTGCCCCCTGGGGTCTGGCATGGGAAAAACAAACATGAAGCCAGGCTGCAGCCAAAGGAGAACCTTCCAGCTGTGCCCAGCCCACATCAACCTGGTCCGAGGCGGTCTGTAGCCCTGTGAGCACGACAATACATATACTGTATGTCATAAGTGATGAGAAACTGAGATCATTATAAAAGAAAAACAAACAAACAAACAAAAAGCTAATCATTTACAGAGGGCAAGAAATTTGTTTATATTATCTTTTTACAGAATATTTACTAATCACATAAAAATTAGAAAAATCAAAAACCTTAAATATTACTTATATTGTGCCATGTACTGTTCTAATCCTTTATATGCAACAACTGACTTAATATTCACAACAACCCTATGAAGAAGATACTAGGATTAGCCCCATTTAACAGATGAAAAAACTACAGCACAGAGAGGGTAAGTAACCAGCCTAAGGTGACACAGCCTGTAAAAAATATCACCAAGTAAGTAATATTGCTCAGGCAGATTGGCTCTAAAAGCTGTGCTTTTAACCAAAGGGCTCTACTGCTTTTAGACATGAATCTACATGTCCAAAGCCCATTTTCTGATGGTGATAAAACACTTTTTAGTAATACCCCTTTTCTTTAAACTGTGAAGGGAGTAAAGTTTCCAAATATCAAACAAGAAAAGGAGTAAATGCAGGGTAAACGTATATTTCTCTTAAATATGTGCATGACAAAAAACCAAAGGCTAATAGATTCTTTACACTCTACTAAGAACAAAGTATAGGTATTATTTTAGTAAAATATGCCTTCATTTAAAACAAACATGTTATTTATAGCAGTATTAGCAAATAACACTAATAAGAAATTATAGAAGCATATGCTGAAAAAGAAGCTGTTTGGATGTAACATCAAATTAACAATCAAAAGAGAAAAACAACAGATTTTCTGATGACAAGCTCATAAAACACAGGGATTTCCTAAAAAGTAAGTGAGCAGTTGCGGTGCCCAATAACCAAGTATTTATCACAATCCGCTATTTAAATCTTTAATTTTCAGGTCAAATCACTTATAAATATTAAGTGTGGTTTGTACCTGAGCAGTTTCTTGTCAAAGCATTTATTTCTAGCAAACATGTAGTTGGGAAAATACTTACGAAATTTTCAAGTGTGTGTGTATTGAAAAACAAAGCTTGTATTCACCAGGAAGTGGGAATAAAATCTTTAGGCCAAATTTTATACAGTAAAGGAATCTGTTCTTCAAACAAAAAAATTATATAAGAGCCTAGCCTAGCAACCAGAGAAAACATTTTTATGGCTAAACTGAAATAATGGGCTACAGCCCAGGATATTCCAGAGCCCAGTATAAAATCACTCTTGTACATAGATACTTTTACTTCCAAGTGCCTGGAACTCAAAGCCTGTGAATGACTGAAATAAAACACTCCTCCTAATTTCCGTTAATTTGCAGGTGTGTATATAGCTTTCTGTGATTTTGCCCAATGGTTGTAATATTTCCCTAATACATTTTATTCAGCCAACATAGTGAAACTTTTTATTCCCCTTGGGAATTGAAGTGTACCATTTATGCGATTTGATCAGAAACCACTCTTTTTGCCCACAAGACGTGTCAGATTATTCACTTAGCAAATCCATCCACATGCATGCTGACACTGGTGCACGGTAGCTGGTGTTTTCCAGAGCAGCTTGATTTATATAGTACATTGCGATATTCCTGTGCTTTCACATCCATTATGTCACTGACTCTTAAAACCACCGTGTTGAGTGAAGGCTATGACCTGTGGTATGCAGGTAAGTGAAAACTGAGGGTCAGAGCATAACCTGGCTGGGAAGTGTCAGAGCCAACGCCGCAAAGTCTCTCCCAAGACACTCACAATGAATCTCCCGGTTTTGTTGGAGCAGGCGTAGAGCCGAGGCGGGTGGTCTTCAGCCTGGGTCTCCAGCAGTGGAGAGGTCTGGTAGTGGGTCTTCCCTCCAAGGGAATTCCAAAACTCCTCTGTGGAAGACACACTGGGTTACCCGATGCTTTTCCAGGAGCATATGGTTGGTATTGCATTATGTTAACAAGTAATATTATCTTACTTTGACGTTCATGTTGAGAAATCACTTAAATACAGCAGGTATCACCACCCACTTTGGCAACCAATGGATTCTTACCCACTGATAACCTTTACAAAGTGACTATTTATGGAAAAATAAATCATGTGATTAGCAATCATACCAAATGTAAGCTCTGGTTAGTGGCCTGGGCCCCACAGAACACACCTGGTTCCTCTCCTTCCCGAATCCTGGTGGTTCTGCACTGGAGCACCCTGGCCACGTGCTCTGCCCCTCTCTCCTCCTCCTGGCTAGCACCTTTTCCTATCCAGATGTAGCCATTATTGTGTGGCAGTTTCAGGACAAAAACATCATTGGAATTCAACGAACTTGCATCAACATCTACCTACAGTATAAAGAAAAATAACACAGTAAGTCAAACTCATTGCTACCTGCTCAAGAAACATGTCAGAGCAACCACGACAGTGACAAACCATCCATGTAGCCTTCGGTCCTGATCCCAGGAAGCTAATTCAGGGTGGCACGTGGACACCACTATGGTGTTAAAAACATCAGAGCCGGAGGACTCCCTTCTGTGTCAGTTTAATGCTCAACCGCCCACAGGCAGGAGCACAAGGCTCTAAGAATAAAATTAGCCAAATTTAAGTGATAAATAACAAAGATAATATTCAAAGAGTCCATAAGAACAAGGATAGGCTATAACTGGAAAAAAAAGAGGGCATAGTATTTACAAATGACATACAGAAAGCAAAGGTATTCAGTTTTCTGTCCCCTGCTAAACAGGAGGTTTATCAAATAATCAAAGGGATGCCTAAAAAAATCACAAAACAGGGACCGGAGTCCAAAGTAGGCTAAGAGGTAATACTACAGATTCCCTAAAAAGTGCTCCAGGGTCAGATAAATTGTTGCTCAAATTATAAAAGACTATTTATAGGGGGTTAAAAACACAGCACTGACATGCCCCTTCCTTTCAACCAAGAAGCTGTGGCCACTGTGTAGGATCAGCCAGGTGAACACAGGAGTGAAAGGGACCCGGTGGGCCCAGGCTCTGGCTGGAGGTTGAGGCCCCGGTACAGCCTCCGGGCAGGAACAGGCGTGTGAGCCTGAGGGTCTAGGATGCGCTTGTGTCTCTGACTGTGTCTAGCACCTTGTGATCTTGTGACTCTGTGTCGGTGTCCGGGAGAACCTCGGGCTATGTGATTGTGTGACTGTGACCATGTGTGAATCATTTTCTGCATCACTGTGGGACTCGATGTGACGTGTGATAACAGAGAGCAGGCGTAAGCAAGATTGAGACAGAGCAGCAAGAGGGGGAAAGAAATCAGGAGCGTGTTCTTGAGGCCAAGTGAAGAAAGCATTTCAAGAAGGAGCTGTGTCCAATGGTGCTGCTTGGCCAACCGCGTTGAGGCGCCAGGTGAAGGCACCGACTATGCGGAGAGTTGGATTTTCACCAGGTTCATCGGGACCTGGTCCCCAGAGAGAGCAGTGCACGAGGAATGGCTGTTGGAAATATTAAAGATGTGTCCCAGGGGTTGGTAACATCCAGGGAGGCAGCTATTGTCCTCTCAGTGGGAATGAGACCTCATGGGCCAAGCTCAAAGGAATCTATCAGATGTGATGATGGAGAATTACAGAAGTCATTGTTTTCGATGTCTAATCCAAAGGCCTCCTTATTGGTACAGAGGAAAGAACTTGGCTGGGGGAGAGGCAGGGGACGAGAGGCCCACGCCCAAGTCGATCCAAAACAGAGGATGATAAAGTATTAGCCTCGCAGGAGATGAAAACAGAAAGTCCTATAAACAATGATTTGGATTGGTACGTTTCGGAGAGGCCACGAGTGTGGAGGCCAGTTTGGGAGCCTCGGGAAATAAAAGAGCTGAATCACAAGGGGTCCACCACGTCTCAGAAAGAAGGGTCCCCTGGGAAGAGACCAGGATGGCAATGATTCTCGTGGACTCATGGTTCTAGCAGAAATCAACGGAGGGCGCTCGTAGGTGAGAGCTTAACTATCTTTTAATTTGATACATGTTTTTAAAAAATTAGTCATAATTGACCATGAGAATCCATGCAGAATATTTTCCATGAGATCAATACAAATGATGGCATTTACACTGTGTGAGTAAATGAGATCACCCGAGAGAGCCAGGACTGAGCACCGGAGCACTCGGCGCCCAGAGGACCAGCAGAGGAGAAGCCAGCAGAGCTGCCGGTAGAAGGGGAGCCCCGAGGTTTGGGAAAATCCTGGTAGGCCTGGTGTTTCAGAAGTCTAGTGGGAAAAACCCACCTAAACAGTGTTTCAAGAAGATAGGAAAGGGGGACTGTGGAAATGCTAGTGGGAGGTCAAGACAAGGGAGATGGGAGAAGGCGGGAGGCAGGTGGAAGGGCGGGCATGGGTGTCCAAGTGGAGTGGCTTCGGCGAGAACAGGCTTCAAAGGGCAGACACGGTGGGTGAAGGCCACCCTGCTGAGGACTTGTGGTTTCAAGGAGGGCAGAGAATGGGCGTCACTGGGAGTGTCCGAGTCAAGAGAGAGTTTTTAAAGGAAGGATGGGAGTCTCTAGAAGGCATGTTTGTATTCTGAAATAAGTGATCCAAGACAGAAGAATAAATTGATAATACAGAAGAGAGAGAAGTTTATTGCCTGCAATAGGGATGAACTGGAGGAGGGACAATGACACGGGACAGAGTAAAATCCAGAGAAGTTCCTAGAAAGCCCAGAGGTTAAGGGGATCCCAGACAGAAGCTGGCAGTGGAGTGGAGGTGGGAGGAATTTGGCCTTAAATAAGAGTCACATTTTATTTCTTTATATAATAAATATACATTAAATTATTTATCAATATAAACTTTGCACAAACATTATTATTTATTTTTAAATTATGGGTAAGACTAGATTGATATTAAGTTATAAAATGATTTCGTATTTATATGCAAATAACATAAAATATTTATTATTAAATATAAATAAACTAACTAAATTTATTTCGTAAAATAGCTGGGAAGAATATACAGATGCAGACAAGTTGGTGAAACTGAAGGGAGCAGAGGTGGTTCTTGTGTGATCACGTTTACGTTCTCTGTGAACTCTGATTCCGTTACCCGTGGAGAGCAGGGGTGATGGAGATTTGGAGAGAGAGGGGGACCTGAGGGGGGTAGCGGTGGATGGGAAGGGCTCAGGATTCAGGCATGAGACTGGGCGACTGCTGAAAATGCACTCTGGGGTAAAGGAGCTGGAGGACAGGGCGTGCTTGCCAGAGATGAGGTGTCTGAGATAGATGCCCGAGGTGCTGCAGTTATCGCAACGGCAAGGTTGAGAATCGAGCCACGTGGGTGTGAGATGACACGGGGTCAGGGGCAAGAGCAGATGAGAGGAGCCAGAGTGACGGGGACAGTGAGGCCACGGCTGAAGCCATCGAAGACTGAGAGAGGAAGGGCTGGCTGCTCAGCTGACGCAGCACAGGGGCCGGAGGAGGGAAAAGCTGAAGCAGCTAGGGTAAGGGGGGTGCCTCACGACCCCATCACCAGCACCTGGGCCCGGGGGACAAACAATTTCTACCTGAGTGGGCTGTCTGGGAGTCTGCATCCTCACAGGGCAGAGCCTGAGGGGGGAGGGTGGCTGAGAGAGGAGGTGGAGGTGGAGAGATGCTGCGACCTGCCTGGTTCAAGGCCTCAGCTGAATGGGTTGCACAGAAGGGAAGGGTGGGCAGAGGCTCTGAGTTTGAGGATATATATCGAGTGCGAAGGGCAGCTCAGGTTGATTTGGGAGACTTGGATCTCAAGAGTGACCGAGGGATGCGAGGTGATGAATCACCCTAGAGGCTGAAACACTCAGCCACTGAAAACCCTGCACCTGCCGGCCCTGCCCACACCTGGAGGCCTTCTTGTCTCACGACTCTGCGACAGGGGTTTGATTTCTCTCGCAGCCGCCGTCAGGCAGCTATTCGGCCTTTGAGTGATGGCCTGGCCCCACGTGGTAAAGCCCGTTTCCCACATTCGTTACACGTGTACAGACAAGCAGCTTCCCTCTCGGCTCCCCAGGGAGGTCATCCGATCAGCACCCGCCATCCATCCCCCCAGGCCTTGCAAGGTACAGCGTGAGCTGCCTCTTGCCTCTGACAGCTTGATTGCTTACATTAGTCTTAAAATTCATTTGTTTGGGTATAATGCGGTTGAAAAATGAGAGGCCTGGTATCTGGAGTTAACTTTTTACTGAGTTCTCCTGCCTTCGGTATTGTTACTGTGAACAACTGCTTCATTATAAAGTGAAGGGAGGTTACGTGCCAACTGTTTCAAGGCTACTACTTGCTGACGGCGCGGGCTGTTCTCCTGGCTGCCTGGCCTTACCTCCACAATCCTGGTGATGGATGCCAGGTTTCTCCGGACTTGAAAGAGGCGGGTCGGGGGAGCAGGTGCCTGCCCTTCTTTCTTTGATGTTCCGTTTTTGTAAATAATGAGCGGTTTGTCTTTGAACAAGCTGAGCAGGTGAGCAGGTTCTTTGCCCTGGGACACTCGAATCTGGGGGAGGGGAGAGACAAGAAATAAAATAAAGGGCGCCAAGAGAGAAAGTTGTATTTCCAAATGTGTTTCTATTTTTCTTTTGGAAAACAAAACAAAAAGTAAACCACAAGTCAAAGGCAGGAGGAGTAGATTAATGTAGATGATGTAGATTAATGATCATCAAGCCCAGCCTCCTTGCTGACTTAAGAATCGTTTATTACTCCAGGCCCCACACTCCCGACCGGTTTTTTCTCGGGGGAACAGCGTAATTCTGCACCACTTTCTGCTTCCAGAAAGCACAAGGAAGGAAGATGTCCATCTATTCCTCCAGAAGAGAAGAAACAAAGTGCTGATGCATTATGCCATCTTTCATGAAAACTAGATTTTTTTCAAGAGTACCAACACTTAGCAGATGCTTAGGGATGTACTTGTTTCTCACTTGCTTTAGATCTTGTTCAGGTTCAGAAATGTGCACTCAAATGCCTTCCCGAATAAGACAAGACAAAAGCATACTAATTGTTTCCACACCCCCACAACTCGGATGAAAAAATAATTGTAAAGCCATCTGGCAACAGATAAATGATTTCTATCCAAACATCAAAAACTGACAAAAATAAGCGGAATATGCTTTCAATCTTTTTTAACTTAACTTTAGAAACGGTAATCATAGATTCGTTTAACATAAGCACTTTGAAAAATGCATTATAAAGACTTTTCAGGAGAAGGAAATTTAAGAAAATAAATGGGAAATTATTTAATTTCACCTATTAGCTTAACACTGGATATTGCATTTGCAATGTATTTCCTATTTATTGCATAAACTATGGATGCATTTTTAAAATATAAACTGTTCAATTTTGTGCCAGTCCCCTATTTTTGTCAATTATTCTGTGCTATACTAAAATTAAATGGCCTCTCACCTACTCTGGTGTGTCTTTTTCTAGAAGCCAAGTTAATGGGAATGCTGATGCAAATACCATTTGCAGGGAGGCCTAGGGAGCATTGACAATAGTTAACTTCACAGACATCCTTCAATGAGCAAACATTCAAATGAGTGAGTAGCAAATTATGAAAATGTCTTTTGAGGCAGAGCCCCAAAGTTTGAGGCGAGGTAGCTAGGAGTACCTAAAACTGCTGTTGGCTTAGCACTTCTCATAACATTGAGAAAGCCTTAACTGCCAACCTAAAAGAAAGGACACTGATTAAGACCCAGTCTACCTGTGAAATGAGAATAAGAGAAAAAGTAAGCTGAAAATTTTCAATACTGTTAATATACTCTACCGTGTTTAAAACAGCAATAAGGGACCCGAGTGGTTTACGCATTTTTGTGAATTACTGCCATCTAGTGACTAAACTAAACATTAACACTTCATTGCCAATTTAGGATTCAACTGGCTAACAAGGGAAATTCATTGTGTATCTCAAATATTTTACTACGAAATGTGGAATTTATAATGCATAATAAATATCTCCCAAGTTTTTACAAAATTGGGTAGGAATATGTTAAAGATCAATTTAATAGCATAGTAATGCCAGTTCTTAGAGAGAAATATTTCATTCAAGAAATGAATGTAATACTTCACAGTGAAATACAGTCCAGTATATTAAAAAATTCAATCACCTTATTAATTCATTAATTAAAAGTTAACAAATTTAACTGTTTAAAAAGTTAATATGCACTTTTAAATATAGATCTAACTTGTTTTATAGTTTATCTATTAACTATTAACAAATACCAAGGCAGAAGGGAAGCTAGCTAGGAGACCAAATTCTGCCTCCACATCTTAGAGCCTATGGACTAAAGTAGCTGACTTCCCTATTTAATTATTGCCTTTGAAGAAGCAATTACACATTTATAAAGCTTTGCAAACAAAATTAAAAACCTGTATGCCATATAGGATCTTGCTCCCTTGACCTTAGGCATGAGGAAGTTAGACGCATTCCTGCGAAGGGAATGCTTAGTGCTGATGGATCAGAAATGTTACTACACTGGCCAGACCGGCACCTGCCATCAGTCTGAACCCCAATCTGGAAGAAGCTTTTCCCAGCTGTTGGGGTCAGACTCCTTCCCCAAAGCCAGGCAGAGAAAATACCCAGGCAGTGTGAGCTGCTCCAGCTAGAAAGCGAGGGAGGGAGTGGTGGAGAGAGGGAGAGAGGGAGAGAGAGAAACCCACACACCGGGGAGAGCTTGCAGTGGGGTGGCCAAGGAACAGGCCTGGGGTTAAGAAGAGTAGACAGACAGGTTAGAGCACATGGAAGAGTAACAAAGTCTCTATTTAAGTTATACATTGGGGAATTAAATAAAGGCCAAGAATTTCCTGTGTTTACTAATAAGGGCCCTGAAACAAGTAGCAAATATAAGAAGAGGAACTTGAGAGAACAGGAAAGAAGGTCGAGGCAGGCTGGAAGTGGTCCCTTTCACAGTGAGGGCAGCCAGAACTAGACACTGACGCTGGAGTCCCACTGCGTGACGTTCAAACTTTTATAGGTAGTCAACACAGTATTCCTCTCTCCCCCTCTTTCTCCGTCTGTCTCAGCCTATCTGCTTCTCTCTAGATAAACAGGTAATAGATGTATCTAGATATCTAGATATAGACACTAGATAGATACACACTACATATAGCCATATAGATATATACATAAACTATATATAGATACATACACACTTAGATACATAGGCATATAGATATAGAGGTTGACTCATTTATATAGAATTATGATTTAGAATTTAGGTTCAGTCCTTCTCAATAAATTACTTATTTTCAAAAATACCCAAATAAAGAACCCTTCCCTCTCCTCCCTCACACCGTTCTGGTCTTCCTCCTTCCCCCCTCTTCCTTCCCCTCCGCCCCCCCTTCTGGGTGCTGGACTTTGTGTCAGTCACAATTCTGGAAGCCAGAGGGGGAAGGGAAGACCCACGGCCCCCTCAGGTTTATGTCAGGCTGCCTGTGCCAGTCACACCTTGCGAGCGCTGTGATTTGGGAGAGGGTAAAACATCGTTCCGTTGATCAGAATTCCTCACCTGCGCTCGCTTTCTCCTGCCGTGTTTCATTCCTATGGCTTTTAGAACAAATTATCATGACTTTAGTGACTTAAATCAGCACAAATTTATCTTTGAGTTCTGGAGGTCAGGAGTCCTAAAAGAGTCTCCCTGGCCTAAAATCAAGGTGTCGCCAGGCTAGGCTCCCTCCTTTGGAGGCTCTAGGAGTGAATCCGTTTCTTTGCCCTTTCCAGCTTTCCAGGCTGCCTGCAGCCCTAGGAGGGGGGCCCCTTCCATGTCTAAAGCCAGTGATCACTGGCCCTCTCTCCTGTGGCCTCCTCCTAACTCCGCCTGCCTTCCCGGTTCACTTGTAAGGACCCTGTGACTACACTGGATCTACGCCGTCATCCTTGGGGATCTTCCTATTGTAAGAAATGCTATTTTGCAACCTTAATTCTAGCTCCACTCTTAATTCCCCTTTGCCTTATAACATAACATGCTCACCGGCCCAGAAGAGTAGGACGTGGGCATCTCTGCAGGGACGGGGTTGGGGAGTAATCTACCCCATCACACCTGTTTAACAACAGCTGGAAGTGGTCACTCAAAATAGTTTTAATGTCAAATGACTGACATTGACAGATGATGTGATTCTAACGGAAAGATCCTTAAATTTATTAATGGTGTATTTTGGTTTGTGTTGTTTTTTATTTTGTTTGCTTTCTCTCTTCTGGAGTCTGACAGAACTACTATGGCACAAGAGTAGGAGTATTTTAATTCCAAAATGAAAAAAGGTAATATCCAGAAAAGGTCAAGTTCCCATCCCGACTTGGGGGGTGGGTCTTATTCTAGACACTGGGCTAGTCAAACCTGAACTTTGATGAGTCTGGAGGGTAAAAATATTCCAACCTGCACAGCCTGTCCTCCAAGGGATCTGTCCAGCTGAACAGTCAGGAATGCAGATGTTGTCAGCTCATCTCTCGTGGCATTTGCTCCTTGCCTGGAGGGACCAAAGTAAAATAAATCAGCTTGTATTTTAGTTTTAAGACCTTCTAGCCTCGGCATTTCAAGCAGAGACTTGTTACTATGTTTTCACGTGATATGGCTACAGAGGCCGTCACTTCTTTGCAAGTACTAAGGCTGAGCCGTGAACTGTCCTGTGCACTGTCTAGAACTACATGTGGTAGGTGCCCTGATCTTCATTTAATAGGCAAGGACATTGAGGCTTAGCTCCTCACAGAACTTAGATAAGTAATCAGGTCTGTCTGACGTAAAGTTGAAGCTGTCTATTTTGGGGAAACAAATCCATCATGAAAATCCTCCATCTGAGTAGAGAAATGAGCCAATTCTCCTAGGCTGGACATCAGAGGTACTCCACTGTTAATATGAATATTCGGCGAACATAGTACCAAATGTTTGGGCCCAGAAAAATCAGGGAAATAATCATCAGGCCCTGGCCAGTTTGGCTCAGTGGTTAGAGTATGGCCCCACAGACTGAAGGACCACGGGTTCGATTCTGGCCAAGGGCACATACCATGGTTGCAGACTCAATCCCCAGCCCCGGATGAGGTGCATGCGGGAGGCAACCAATCAATGTTTCTCTCTCACATTGATGTCTCTCTCTCTCTCTCTCTTCCCCCTTACATTCTCTCTGAAAAGCAATGGAAAAAATATCCTCGGGTGAAAATTAAAAAAAAAAAAAATCATCATCATAAGTAGGCTATGGAGAGCCCCCATTCTGTCATTATAGCAATTCTTTAAATTCTATTAATAAAACTGTAAGACAGGCTAAGTTACCAGTGGCCCAGGTAAAGGTCAGTTAATCAGTTTGTTCCAGTTCATGTGCAACCTCTCTTTATAGGGCACCTTGTGGCTATAACTCAATCATTAGCTCTACCTGCAAAGCAACCTTCGGGAGATCTGTCTGCTTGATGACCATGTGGTGGTGTGTGTATGCAAGAGTGGGACTAGCCCAAGTATTAAGTATTGTTCGTGTGGAGCCAACTTTCCCAGGCTTGGGGTTAGTGGGAAAAGTACTAATCCCAGAACAGGATTTTGAAAGTGAACCATCTCTTTTCTTCCAAAACCTTGGAAGTGACCTATTCCATACCCACAACAGATTAACAATAACCTCTCATCCTGGGCACAACACACACACACACACACACACACATACCCCAAAACACTGAGTGCAGGGAGCATGTCTTATTTATCTCAGAATATTGCTCTGTACCAACAGAGCCAAATAATATAAATATATTCCACCGAGAAGTGCCCCTCCCCGCCAAAAGTACATGTTCATGCCAGACACACATTTAAAAGAAAATAAAAAATGCTTTCCCTAATAAAAGCACTCATAAAACTATAGTCTTTGAAGGCTAATAGCCTATAATGCTATCAAACACTTCTGGGAACCACTGGGAGCATGGGGGCTGGGGGAGCAACCCAGAGCTGCAGAAAACATCAGGATCTGTTATACTGGCTTTTTTTCCTCTATTATATGAATTTCATGTGGACAGATAACAAGGAAGGATGCATCAATCTGAGGTCTCTGGAGTATAAAACAGAATCACTAATTATATCTATTCCTCACAGGGTTTGCCTCATTTGCAACTTTGCAGCTCCAGTCAGGATGGGCTGTGGATTTTAACAATAAGAAGACGCCGTACCCGAGGCTGGCCAGTCGGAGTGTGAGTGTGCATAGGAGGTGAGCTGTTCAGCTACATATCCACTATGACATCAAAATGTTTTCCTGGACTAGAGGGAATGAATTTTATCTAATCCCCCCTGCTTGTGGACAGCAGCTACAAAATATAGTCAAAATCATATCAAAAGAAAATGCTACAAGCGATACAAATCTCAGGGGGATAACTATAAGACAATTCTATCCCATATTGCACAGAACTAAATGAAATTTAACTTTGGAGCAAAATCTGGCCTCTGTGAAACCTGAGGTCCTATACAAGAGGGAAACTTACCACGTGTAGATAATCTGTCCTTTGGGATAAGTGTAGAGTATGATGTAGCAGTCACCACCATAGAATTCGCCGTATGAGTTTCGGTTAATTTCGACCCTGCCGGTGCTTTCTACACGCCAGATCTGAAAGGGGTGGAATATGGTACTAACATTAAACTTTTCTCCATCTAATAATACTTCTCGGAAGTTTAAAAAAAAGCCCTAGATCTATTACTAAATAATTTTTAATAATAATAATAAAAGTTATTATTTTTTATTTTAAAAGCTATTATTTTATTATAAAGGGGCAGGATGGGAACTTGGAGATGAGCAGGTGGGCGGGAGGGGTACCGTGCTCTCAGAGAGAAGCCTTCCCAAGCCACGCTGGTGAGCAGAGGAGAAATGGCGCACGTCCTGGCTAAACCCCAGAGCTCGGGGAGAGCCCCTGGATCTCAGCAGCCTTGGGCAGCCCCGGAGGACATGTCAGAGACGCTGTGACCTCACACGAGGCTGTAGCCGGGACATAGCTGGTGCTGGGCCACCAAATCTGCCACCGGGACCTCTGGCTCTGCTGAGCTCCACAAAAGGACATGTGAGCAGGAGGCAGAGACAGGCCCAGACCAGAAGCTGTACCCCTCTGACAACAGCCACGGGGGGCATCTCTCCCTTTGCAGATCCCACAACCCCCATGCAGCTCCGATTCCCACTTCTTGTCTTTGAAAGGAGGGAAAACGGCTTCCTAAATCCCTTTACTCTACACTTTGGTTCAAGTGTTAGGGTAAGCCCTGGGAATGTAGAGATGAAATATTCAATTCATGCCCTCAAAGGGGTAACAAGAGGTCTAAGAGGAGAAGTTTGGAAGTAAATGGACAATTCTGAGGTACTTACATGAAAAGTTCATGCAAAACACTACTTATGGTTTGAGCACAGAAAAAGAGCATTTCAGTGGAGGGAAGGCTTCTTGGAAGAGATGAAGCTGTGACTTAACTGAGTTACAAAGCGGGGATGGGAAGGCCACGCGGAAGGTGGAGGGAACGAGCCGTCCAGGCAGTGGAAGGGTGAGCCGGAGAAGACGGCCAGGGCCTAGCCAAGGGGGCCCTGCAGCCCAGCTGAGAGGGATGCTCTCAGGAACACTGGGGAACCCGGAATATATTTTAGAAGAGAAAGTGACATCACCCAGTTCTCATGAAGTTAGATGACTCAATAGTGGGACTGAGTGGGAAGAGATTTGAATTAGGGAAAATTGTTAGTTTTGTGTGTGCTTTTTTAAGCAATTTCGTCAGAAAAAATATCAAGGAATGATTAATGAACTCAATTTGAATGCTCTAAAAATATCTCTGATGTTGGGACATAACAGATGCTTTGCTTTTGCAAATGCCTCTAAGGTGCCAGGGAAAGGCAAACTGATGGCAGTTGGTACATTCGGGGCAACACCCCCCCTGGACAATCCCAGTCCCGGGAGCAGGAGCAGTTCTAACACAAGAACCCAGACGGGGTCCCAGGTCATCGCCAAGATGACAGTCACATGATCTTTGCACAAGTCACCTAAGCCCTTGGACTCGCCACATCTCCTTTGCAAAACAGAACTGAAGGTCAGACAACATCCCTCCCGGCTTCAAGTTCCAGATTTAATACCCAGCCTTGGGCCATTTCATGAATCAGTAAAATTCGCATTTTACCAAGTTTGTATTTTCCTGACATTGTATTTCCCCTGGGCTGGCGTAAACGGCCTGACGCGCGCACCCCC